CTTTTTGAGAATGTCATTAGAACAAACAGATGGAACATATTTGAATCATACTGCAAAGCGTTTCTTAATTTCTGAAGTATTTTTTAAATTTCGACTTGCTTCCTGTTTTGGTAACAACTACTTGACATATTATGGCCGAAAGCCCGAACTTCGCAGAAATTGAAGTTATTTTTTGCCAATCAGGGAAGGATATCACGGTCCTTGGCATTAATTTAAAACCTTTGTTTTGTTTACGACCAAAAAAAAAGAAGAGAAATCGTTCATCCAAACTTAAATATAAAACATTAAAACATAGTTATGAAAATATTAGGTAGCCATCATAACTGTTACAATAAATTTTGCAAAGGAAGCACTTAAAATCTCCTCCTCTATCTCTTTATAACAGAGAGAGAGAGAGAGAGAGAGAGAGAGAGAGAGAGAGAGAGAGAGAGAGAGAGAGAGAGAGAGAGAGAGAGAGAGACAGAGACAGAGAGAGAGAGAGAGAGAGACAGAGAGAGAGAGAGAGAGAGAGAGAGAGATTTGCATCGTGTTCCTAATCCTCATTTATATGGAAAACGTACATTGACTCTTTGAGTTGTTGCGCAAAGACCAGATGTTTTTTTTTTATAACCCGATAATCCTACATTGCGCAACTCCCAGATATTAAAAATCAATCGATAACATTTGCAACATAAACTTTAATACCAAGATATATCATTTGCATTTTTAAAGAATATCACTGAATTTAGAAATCTGTGCTGATTCCCGCAACTGAAGCGATTCATGAGGCGAATTTGTATTACTTTTAATTTTAAGAAAATAGATCGGACGTGAGATTTGACAAAGTTGGTTCTGGAATTGACATTAATATCTATCAATCACAATGATTGTTTCCAATTTTTTGTAGACGTGCCAAGAAACTCTTGTTTGCGCTAGAAGACCCTGTAAGTCGATCTTGTAACCCGTATGTTATCTCTGTCAAACAGGTGTCAGAATAGCGATCTTGTTGTAAGGACCGACGAAACATAATATCCGGGACCAAATAACAGAGACTTTCACTGCAACATCTGCGGTCCTAAAATCCGTCTGTGCGCTCGTATGATTGATTGAGCCGGAGAAAATGGATCAAGCGCTAAGACGCGTTATATTGTCCGCGTTAATAATGAATGTCACTGAACATGATTATAGTAATAAAGGACAGTCCAACGTTTTACAAGAAGCATTGTGTTCTCAAGACAACCGATCATGAAATCGAAGGTAATAGAGACGTGAGATACCTTTAAATGTGTGAAAACAAAATAAAATTTCTTCCCATGGGGCAGCATTTTCATAAATACAAGCAGATCAGGAAATTTAACGTTTTCTACAAAACCTTCGTGACCAATTTGCTAATAAATTAAGATCATTTGGAATGAAACATTTGCAGAATCTATGATACTGTCAAGGATATTAATTTTACCTTTTCTGTTTAGAGTTTACACACCCACACACATAGACAGACACAAACACAGACACACACACATACACACACACGTTTGGTTTGTAACAAAGAACTAACGGCCAGACACCAAAATTTCATACCTTAATCAATGACTTTCATTGTTCTTACAAATCATTTCTGATGGGACTCTATCTATGTATGATATGTTCTGTGATCGAAGGCCAAAAATAAAAGACAGAAAAACAAGGAATTTGGTACAAATGTCAACCAAAAGGTCATCAAAGTCATCAAATACAACGAGATCGTGAAAGAAAATGGTATTGAAAAATTAATTTCCAGCCAAATCCGATGATGGATACGGATACTAAAATACGATGAAATTAAACTTTACACGGAGATATACTTGCTTTTGGTTAAAACTTTTTTTTTCCCTTAATATTGGACGTTTTATGAGCAGGATATTTTGTCTGAACTTCGGTCATCGGAAGAATCCGGTACAAAAAAAGAAATAGGTATAGATGCGTGTACATTAGAATATCGATGACGCGATGGGCGCCACATTGTCTCAGGCATACTCTTTAACAGAAATCAAGCGTAACAGCAGGTTACCTTTTCCGTCATTCTCCCAATATAAATAAGAACAATAAAAAATGGAAACCATGATCATAAAATCAATGCCAGCTGCGAGGCACAAAAGGAAATGAACAAAAATGGCAAAAGAAGCATTTGTATAAAGATTACGACAGGAAGAATACAAGTAGCGAAATCACTGATAGTAAGAACACTATTATTATTATTATTATTATTATTATTATTATTATTATTATTATTATTATTATTATTATTATTATTATTATTATTATTATTACGAAGAAGGAATCATGAGAAAGACGAAAAGGAGGGAAGAAGAGGAAGACTTTCATTATGGCAATAAATGATGATTCCTGCAACAACAACGACGATGATGATGCCAAAGAATTACTGTAACAACGCATTTGTAGATACTCTAATGCCTACTGGTCAGAGCGTCCGCCTTGGATGTGGGATGTCGCGGGTTCGAACCCCAGGCGAGTCAAACCAAAGACTTATTAAAAAAATTGTACTAACAGCTGCCTCGCTAGGCGCTCAGCATTAAGAAGTTAGTGTTAGGACTGATCGGCTTGGTGTCAGGATAATATGATGCTACATGCCTATGGCAGTGCTAAACATCACTATAAACTACCACACGGCAGATATCGTAGCGATATGACTGTAAAATTGTCAAAGCTACGTTACAATCCAAATTACACACGTTGAAATGCTTTATCTCTAGCACCAAGATTGGATTCTTTTTTTAAAGTATTGATAAAATGAATGGATGGAGAAAGAAAATAAAGTTTCTTTTCTAAATGATATCTCAAATCTTGGTGTCTGATTCTAGATTTACACCGGCTTGGACAAAGACCTCAGTTGGCCATAGTACACAATTAATTTCACTATACTGTCTCTACATTTGTTTCTCAGTACTGAACTTTCCACTGTGTGACAATCAATACAAATCATATGTTAATCTAAAATACCTTCAAAGATGACGTTACGGTTTAGTTCTTGTCAAGGGCTAACCTGCAATTTTTTTGAGAGGCTGAATTGTAAACAAAACACCAGGCAACGGAACACAGATTTCACTTCCGGATCATCACCATGACCTTATTACTCAATGTGCACTGTCGCCGAAATACACACAGACAACAACATCATAAGCTCACATTTTAAAGAATAATCAATTGCCTTTAAATCCGTACCAAGAATGCCAAAAATATAACTCTAGTATCACCACCAAATTTAGACCGGAAAAAGTGATCTAAAAATAGACTGGGACTACATTCGTGGGTACTGAACCGGATTTTATTAATTGTGTACTGATTCCTGAAAGGGTCAATGTTTTTGTCAAACTTTTATATTTGCATTTTATTTTGCATGCCACTACTGTTTCAACTTCATACATAAAGTCTTTTGAAATTTCCTTGCAAGCAAGACATGTGACAGCTGTCAGAAAGTGTGAAGTGTTGTTGTTCTATAGGTTGCAATTTGAGGTCCAATTGTTCTTAAGAAACCAAAACTAAATTTGCTACATCTTCCTTAATTATAGGAATTTTTCAATGCAGTAAAAACCTTATTGTAATACTTGATAAGGCCTGTCTGAAAATAGTCTTGAAATTAAAAATTATTGATATATAAAATTTAATGGAAATTTAAATAAATATATAAATTTTAAAAACTATTTATTTTACAAAAAATCAATTTTCATACAAGTTATGACATTTAGTTTGACAAATTTAAGGCAGCAAAGTTGATTAATGAATGGTCTTTAAAACAAATGGTAGTTTAAGTCTGTACAACTGATAATATTAATCCCAGGGGTACTGAAGCATGCTAGCTCACGGTGATTTTGACAGCAAATTGCAATATGCCTATCCAGATGAATATAGGTGTACATACTAAAGAAACAATGACAGGTGCTATGTTCCACATTTATTGTTTCAGGTACTTGGACAGTTGTTTGTATAACTAATATCCCACTCAAATTTAAAGTTTTGATGGGACCACTACCATGTTTTATAGCAAATATGCATTCCATTTTAATGCCGATAACTACAAAAGTCAACAATGCAATATGAAAATACAGTTTCACCTTACTGAAAAATGATGCGATTCTCTCTCATGAAGATTTAAGCCATGTCTTTGAGATGCTGTATATCAGTGTACTGATATGAACTCATCTTGGTCACTTATAGCATCACACTGCACATGTCCTTATGAGACCTTGCTATCACCATTGGACTACTGGAGAGCTTCCAAATTGATCCAACTCTAATACTTTGTTCCAGATACCAGACTAGACCTGAAAATATATAACATGTTTCACTTGATTCTAAAAGAAAGGAAGATGTAGGCAAATGAAGTTAAAATGTGTTAGATATGGTGATTTCAAAATAACATTCAGGTTGCAAATATGGTTAAAAAAGGTAAACTTGATAGAGTGACACTCAAAGATGTGAAGCAATGGGCATGTGTTAAAGTGACAAATGCATCCTAAAAATAGATGAAGTTTCTACAAGCATATTTAGCCATTTACAGGTTAAATAACTAATCAGGTAGAGTATGTATCATAAAGTTTAAGACAATGTTGGAACGATGAGGTTTGATCATTGGTGCAAACATTGATACATACCAGTATAGTGGAAAGTCAAATGACAATGTACCAAATTAAAATTTATTATTATATGCAATCCTATTCATGAAGGAAAAACAATTTTAGATATTGTGAGTGAATATAGCAAAATGTGGCCACACAGATCAACTATAGGTACCAATAGATCCTATATCATCAAATAAATGTGAAATTTTCATCCCGAAAACTTGTAAACAAGGATGGATATTTCCATGTGTAGAACATATGCAATGTACTTGTTAAAATCACATGTACAAACATGATTCAAATAATCTGTTTGAACATTTTTAGTCTATTTTTAAGAGTCTTGGCTACCAAGTTATTAAGTTCAATGATTCAATGATTCAATGGAATCAAATATCAGCTGATGCTGCAATACCGCCCTCTGTCAAAGTACTAAATTGAAATGTGTTACCATACAGAGGCATATTCATGATGAAAATAAAATCTTGGGATATTTTAAGTGCACACAGTCAAAACTGAGCCTTACAGATTCACTATAGGTACTATGTCAGCCTAACAATGTCAACTTTTGATTCTAAACATTACAAAATATATGCATATTTGTTCATGTCAGCTATGTAACCATGTTAGGATCAGTTGTAGAAAGTTAAATTCAAATAATCTGTTTGAATATTACTTATGTAATCTTTAAAGTGTCAGATAACACATATCATTAGTCATTAATAATGCATAAAGCAAAATGGATCGTGAGATTCCCCGTAATATCATCTGGGCTGCAAAGTCGCACTACATCAATCAACATCTTAAAGAAACTGAACAATAAAATGGAATGCATTCTGTGTTCAACTTACATCATTTTGCTGTTTTCTTACAAGCAATGGTAAATATACCTGGGTAAAGTATATTTTACCCCTCTGACCTGTATTTCATTCTCTGACAGCTTAATATGATTTTGCAGAGAACTTGAACAGGTTCTAGTATAAAGTCTTCATCTCTGTCCTCTCACTTAATACCCTATAACTATGTTTATAAACATTTACTGATAGCTATACAAGCAGATATGTGTTTCTCAGGAAGTCACCCCATCATAAACACATAAATTAACTGTTTGAACCCCAAAAAATAGTTTCAATGACCTAAAGGTACAAAGCAAAATAGAATTTCGTCTTCATGTATTTTAAATGAAGGTCTCTTTTGACTAAAAAAAGATATTTTCTCTGATCAAATTTGACAAATATCCATCATTTGAGCTTGTATATGGTGTAGGAGTTTATATATATATATATATATATATATATATATATATATCTATATATATATATATATATCTATATATATATATATATATATATATATATATATATATATATACTGATATCATTTAATATCATTCAAAAAAAATATTATATATGTGTATACTTGGTGGAAATTTTTTTATTTTTTAATTGTTTTTTTTTTAAATTTCATTTAAATTTTTAAAATTAAAATTATATTTTTACTTTTAATTTTATTTTTATATTTTTAAAGTCAATATACATAACATATTAAAATTTCATGTGTATGTCATTAATAATAAAAAAACATCTGTTTCAAGTTTTTACTTACAGGCCATAGTACACAAATAATTTCACTATATTGTCTCTACATTTGTTTCTCAGTACTGAACTTTCCCCTGTGTGACAATCAATACAAATCATATGTTAATCTAAAATACCTTCAAAGATGACGTTACGGTTTAGTTCTTGTCAAGGGCTGACCTGCATTTTTTGAGAGGCTGAATTGTAAACAAAACACCAGGCAACGGAACACAGATTTCACTTCCGGATCATCACCATGACCTTATTACTCAATGTGCACGGTCGCCGAAATACACACAGACAACAACACCATAAGCTCACATTTTAAAGAATAATCAATTGCCTTTAAATCCGTACCAAGAATGCCAAAAATCTAACTCTAGTATCACCACCAAATTTAGACCGGTAAAAGTGATCTAAAAATAGACTGGGACTACATTAGTGGGTACTGAACCGGATTTTATTAATTGTGTACTGATTCCAATAGTCATTCAATAGGTACAAAAGACTACGTAGTCACCGAAAGGTAAAAGTGGAATTGTTTATTGGCAACAATTTTGACTGCACACCGTGCAATCATGACGTAACCTCCAAAGGTCTGTATGATATATTTGGCTGAGAATTACATTTATATTAATCATTCACATAGAAATTTATTTATGGCGATAAAATCGGGTGTGTTTCGATTCTCTCGTGCAATCTTGTTTTTTGTTGCTTTTTTTTTTTGCTTCCCATTTTGTATTTTGTTAATGTTCACACATGTTTTATTTTACTATGATGTGATGTATGAAGGCAGATAATTTATTTATTTGCGCTCTATCTTTGTATCTCAATTTACGTGTCGGTTATAGTCGAACTGTTTCTGACTGATGCCTGTCAAACGCTTCACGTGCTTTTCTGAAAGAGTACGTCATAATTGAAGCCAATTGACTGACAGCTGATTTGGCAGGTTTTCGTTTGTAGATGAGGAAAACACATGTAGCAAAAGGTTGGGATAATTTAGAAAGGAAGTATAGTATAAATTTTCATTGGGGGAAGAAAAGCTATATTAAAAAGCTGCGGAAAACATTAATTAAAGTTTATCACTCAGTATGTGCTATTAATAAGAGAAAATGTGTCAAGATTGAAAGATACTGACCATAAAAGGCATGAATGCAATTATTACCCATAGATCAGATATTTGGTCATCTTAAAACCTGTCATATGTTATAACAATATGTTGTTGCTTTATATATTTTATGATAATGTTACATATTAATGACTAGATTAACATTATGACCATTATTTTGACATGTTACTTCGAAGATTTGTTTTTCTTTATTAAATCT